CCCCCCCCACATTAAAAAAATAACTCTACACAAACTAACCCAGAAAACTGGAAGTGGGGGGCAATGTTTTCAGGCATCTACAAGGCCAACGTTCCCCAATACCAGTATTAGACAAGGACCCCCCCCCCCAAAAATGCAATTACAGACCATTGTCCTTTATATTTATGTACATAAATATTCCCCCCCCCATTTTACTTGATAAAATCCAATAACTTCTATAAGAGGAAGAATATATCAAGCCCCCCCCCCCCTAGGAAAATACAGTTGGTCTTATAATCAAGCAATTTAATCTATCAGGCCCCCCCCCCAAAAGAGAGAAATCATGTCATCATTTCAATAGACCCAGGAAAATATGTGACAAAATCCAGCATCATACCAGCAAATCAGGTGTGGAAGAAATTTTCCCTAACCTGATAAAACCCCCCCCCTCATTTACAAAATTGCCCACAGGTAACATCCGACTTAATGGTGAGAGACTGAACACTTTTCCCCCAAGACTGAGCATAAGGCAAAGATGTGCCCTCTCATCACTTTGGCTACCCCCCCCCTGAAGGCTCTAGCCAGGGCCACCAGTGAAGAAGAAGTAATAAGAGACGTCCAGATTGGAAGGGAAAAAATAAAACCACCTTTATCCACAGATTTCATGATGTTCTCAGTAGAAACTCAGATGGAATCTGCAAGAAAAGTGAGTTCAGCTATAGGAAAAGGTTGCAAGATACCCCCCCCCCATAGAAAAATCAATTCTATTTCCTGATACAAGGAACAATTAAAAATAATATCTATAACAGCATCAAAAACATGAGATAATTTGGATAAACCTGAAAAGATGCAAAAGACTTCCCCCCCCCAACTACAAAACATTGCTTGGGGGAGAGTAAAGGAAAGCTGGGTAGGTGGAGCCCCCCCCCTTGTTCATGGGCCTAAAGGCATAATAATGTCAGTGTCCACTGTCATTGATCCCCCCCCCCGATGCCAGTAACATCCCAGCAGATTTCTATGTGGCAATGGACAAGATGATTCTCAAATTCATATTAGAAATGCTAATATCTCTTAAATAACTTCAGAAAAGAACAAAATTGAATGACCGACACCACTTGATTTCAAAAATAATGGAAAATCTGGAGTAGTCATGACCGTGTCCCCCCCCCATAAAGAGGGACAAGGAGGTTTTAAGGGGCAGAATCCAGAAGTAAGAGCTACCCCCCCCCAGACAATGATGTTTGACAGATATGGATGATAATTCAGTGGGGAATGAATAGCCCCCCCCCCAAGTCATGCTGGAATAATGGGATATTTATGCCAAAAAATGGGCTTCATACCCCCCCCCCTCTATAAATGTTGACTCAAAATGAGTCATACATAGAAGTATAAATGCAAAACCCCCCCCCTTCTAGAAGAAAACATTAGGTAAAATTTTTGTGACCTTTGGAGATGCAAACATTTCTCAGATACAAAAACCAAACCACAATCTATATAAAAAGAAACTTAAGAAGGCAATTTGGACACTTCATCCAAATAAAAAACCTGCTCTTATTTGAAAGACAACTGTTAAGAAACATGAAAACGATGCCAAAGTGTGGGAGGAAATATTGACAAGGCATAGATCTCATAAAGGGCCTCCCCCCCCCTTGTGTAAAGAGATCTCAAAGCTCAATAAGAAAAACAACCAAACCAACACACCCCCCCCCCAAAATTTTTGAATAAACTCTTCATGAGAGAAGGTATATAGACAGGAAATACCCCCCCCCTGATACCCTCAGAATCAGTAGGGAAGTGCAGATTGAAACAGTGAACTACCACAGCACGCCTGTTAGCACGACCAGAATTTCAAAGACCAACGGTAGGTACTGCATGTAGGTCCCCCCCCCGAGGAATGGGCACTGTGGCACGCCGTTGGCACGAGTGGTCTGGCAAGTCGTTGCATCGAAAAGCACACCCGCCATAAGATGCAACCATTCCACTCCTCACCTTGTGCACAACCCCCCCCCTAGCCGCTCATAGCCAAATCCTAAAACAACCCAATTGTCCATCAGCGTGGGCCCCCCCCCATATTTGGTATGTCAGCACAGTGGGATGCCCTCCATCAGGGAGAAGAATGACCCCCCCCCAAGACACTCAACGTGACGGTCTGAGAGTACATTCTGTGTGATTCGTGCAACAAACGTTTTAATTCTGATGAGGTCCGATTTATGGATTTCTTCTTTTATGGCTGTGTTCTTCCCCCCCCCGCTAAGATCTTGAGAGTTTGTTCCAGATCAGGGAGGTTCTGTCCTGTGTCGCCCCCCCCCAGCTCATGCAGGAGCGCCAGCCGGATGGAAGGTGGGTCCGCCCCGTCTGTGCCCCCCCCCCACACTGAGCTCCACGGTGAGCAAGCCGGCACTGGAAAATAAGGAAAGGAACCCCCCCCCATGTTCCCGTCTGCAGTGGCAGGAGTCTCTGCATGGTGGGTCTGGCTGTGAGGTAGGGAAGGGCAAGGCCGGGGCTGTCCTCAGAGAAGGAAGTGCAGAGCAGATCGGGCTCCCCCCCCCCTGGCCCCCCACACGACCATCCAGTCAGAAACGGGGTGAAATGGTTTCCAACCCCCCCCCCTCCCTCTGACACTTTGTGACATGAATTTGATTTACAGATGACATTATTAAAAATCCATGATGATTTCACTTATTGAATGTCATTAATCAGCACATTTTTTATTATGTTATCCCCCCCCCCATACGTTACATCATTAGTTTTTGATGTCGTGTTCCATGATTCATTGTTTGCCCCCCCCCCCCAGTGCTCCACGCAGAACGTGCCCTCTTTAATACCCATCACCAGGCTAACCCCCCCCCCCACCCCCTTCCCCTCTAGAACCCTCAGTTTGTTTCTCAGTCCATAGTCTCCCCCCCCCCGTCTGCCCCTCCGATTTCCCCCCCTTCATTCTTCCCCAATCAGCACATTTTCCCCCCCCCCTAGAATTACCTTTTTTAGTTCCAGCCAAATCTGGAATTACTTTCAGGTGTCCCCCCCCCAAAACATCACCTGCCCTTTACCCACTTAACCTCATATTGGGGCAACTGGGCCCCCCCCCCAGGCATTCTGCCTTCCTTACCACAGGATCACTCTGGGGCCCCACATGGCCCCCCCCCCCCGGGCCCCCGTTTGATCTCGTTTTAGATGTTCTCATTTGTCACCCCCAAGAACATCACTCCTCTCTTGTGGTTGCTTCCTCTTCTTCCTGGTTGGAGGCCCAGAAAACAAGGCCCCCCCCCTAAGGATGTCCTCAAACAAGAGCAAACAACACCAAATAAGGATTTAAGAGCCTTTCCATAGATGCGACCTACACACGGGCTGCTGTCGTTGTTCCGAAGCCTATTTGTTTCCCCCCCCCCCTGGCTGTGGTTGCATTGTTCCTGTCACCAGGTGAGGCTCTTCCGTTCCCTCCCCCCCCCGAGTGTCCCCCACATGCCGCATGCTCTCCCGGATGTCCTCAGCTGGGGGACTGAGACGCAGGAAGGTGCTCTCCCCCGCCCCCCGGCCGGTTCGAACACCCCTCCCACCTGGCTGGTAGCTGCGATGCAGGGTTTCAGAGGTGCTGTTTGCTGGGCATCCCAGGGAACGTGCCCCCCCCCAGGTGTTCTCGCTAGCCCTAGGTGGTGTGTGTGCACCCACACGAGAGAGATCCCCCCCCCTCTTAATATTTTTTGGATTTGTAGGAGACTGAGAAGTAACCTTGAATAAGTCATGTAACTTTCTTAATTATTGGTTTCCTTCTTCCTAACATGTTTACCATTTTCTCTCGGAATGGTGTTACAAAATCTAATTAATTGATGTTTGTAAAGCACTTGACATTGAAATATGCACAACAAAATTTCCTTAAGTGCTTAAATTAATCTCCAGATACATTTTTAAGAAATCCCAAGCCCCCCCCCTTAAAAACAAAACACTAACATCAGTGAGAGTTTTGGAACACCATGTGGAATCCCCCCCCCATGGCTTTATCATTTCTCCCGGATAAAGTAAACCCAGAGGACCTAAGAGACCCCCCCCCCAAATATTAAATAGCACCTGGATTAGAATAGATTTATGGGGTCATTAAAAGACCCCCCCCCGTTCATCACCAGAAGCACCAGTTTAACTAAATTAAGTTTCAGATTGTTTTCCCCCCCCCCAAAGCTTATTGCAATTCCAATTCACCTGGTGGTTTTGCAGCCAGATTTCAGTGAAAACCGTCAATTACTCTTTAAATGTTTTACTTTCCTTAAAAGTACAACATTCCCACAAATGACCCGGAGGGGCCTGGCCTCTGGTGGGAAGCCCTCTATTCCTCCTGTCGAGCATCTTTTCACCTCTCCTTACAAGAAGCCCCAGGGTGGTCACATGGGACTCATGCCACTTTCAAGCCTCATCTGAATTCATGTTAAAATTGAGTTTTTCCTTTAAACTGTCATTCATTTGGTTAAGTCTTTGTACTAGACTCGTGAATGACCTCACAATTGAACTTGATACATTTCATGTACAAACCCCCCCCCAAGATCTAACTGATCATTACTCTAACATTTCGTTTGTCTTAGGCTTATTGCCCCCCCCCCAACTCTGCAAGTGTGATGCTTATCGTTTTGTGTCTTAAAATCCAAATATGCCCCCCCCCCTGCTCTGAGCTCCTGGGGTGTGCACGGACACGCAGACGCCCGTGTGGGCTGCAGGGAAGGGTGTGGAGCCTGACCTCCAGTGTCTGTGAGCACTTTCTGCCCAGCTGTGCTCCCCCCCCCCTGAGGGTCACGTCCCTGAGCCTGGCAGATGCTGACGCGTCCTGGGCCGGTGAGCGCACCAGAGCGCCCAGCCAGCACCACCTCCCAGTCGGGCAGAGTAACTTGGCAGATCCCCCCCCCCGTCTACACCGATGGCCACTCGGAGTTCACGGCTTGAGCTGCCATGGGAGTCCCCCCCCCTACCGCTCCTGAGAAACGGTTTGGGAAAGGCAGGTGTGAAATGGAGCAGAACCCCCCCCCTCAAGGATGAAGTCGAGAAAACAGTTTATTTTCAGCCGACCCTGGGAGAGGCCCCCCCCCTGAATTTGCTGAAAGTCACAGAAACATTGGATGCAAAGTGTCCAGTCAAATCCCCCCCCCCACCTGGAGTGTCCGCATCAGCTCCGTGCTGCTGCAGAGATGGAGCCTTTCAGCCTTAGCGGGGTGACCAGCCCACAGCCCCGTGGGGTCTCTTGGGGCGAAGACCCAGCTCCCCCCCCCGCAAGTCTCTCTGGAGGCCCAGGGATATCCGCCTCCAGTGCAGGGACCAGCCCCCCCCCCGGCCCCGTCCTCAGAGCCCGCCGCCCCCACCGGCCGGGACCCCGTCCTCAGCCCCCCCCCCCCCCCTGGCTGGGACCCCGTCCTCAGAGCCCACCACCCGCCCTGGCTGGGCCCCCCCCCTCAGAGCTCGCCGCAGCCCCGGCCCGGGCCTCGTCCTCAGAGCCCGCCGCCCCCCCCCCCTGGGACCCCATCCTCAGAGCCCGCCGCCCCCCCGCAAGCCGGGACCCTGTCCCCCCCCCCCGCCGCCCGCCCCCCGGCCGGGACCCCATCCTCAGAGCCCGCCGCCCCCCCCCCCCCCCCCCCCATCCTCAGAGCCCGCCGCCCCCCCGCAAGCCGGGACCCTGTCCTCAGCCCCCCCCCCCCGCCCCCCGGCCGGGACCCCGTCCTCAGAGCCCGCCGCCCCCACCGGCCCCCCCCCCCTCCTCAGAGCCCGCCCCACCCCCCCCGGCCTGGGCCTCGTCCTCAGAGCCGCCCCCCCCCGACCTCAGAGCTGGCCTCCCCCTCTGGTGCCCTTCCTCCAAGGCACGGAGCTCAGACCAGGCAGGAAGAAGCCCTCCACTTCCAGGACTCCCGCAGCTTGATGAGGGCGATCCCCCCCCCTCTTGCATCGCTAGGTCCTTCCTTCATCCCATCTACTACGTCCCTTCTGCCCCCCCCCCCAGCTTGTTCACCGGTGCTGGGGCCGTCACGCCCCGCCACAGTGTCTGTCCCATGTCAGTGTGTCAGCACTGTCCCCATATCAGTGTGCGTGTCTGTGTTTGACGGCAGCCACCCCCCCCCTGTGTGCCCTACCCGTGGCCGCACGCGGACAGTGCGGGCTGGGGAATGGGACCCCCCCCCCGGGGGACGCCCCTGCTGCATGTCTCAGGGGTTATGGGAACAAGGAGAGGTGGCACCCGGGTAAGTGTGCTGACGCTGGCCACGGCCTCCAGTACCTCAGCAGAAGACAACCCGAAACAGCCGGCCAGCCCCCAGGGCTGCAGGCACCCAGAGCTCAGTGAGGATGCCGAGCAGGGAGACGGTGTAGGCAGCCACAGAATCCTATTGACAAGGATGGACTGGGTCTGGTGGCCCCCCCCCTCTATGTTGTTTAAAAATAAGTTCTTTTTTCAAATGGTTTTTAGTCTTTTTCCCCCCCCCTACAAATTTTTATAAAATATTTTTTAATATTTTATACCTTTTTTGTAAGAGCCCCCCCCCACCTATATTTTAATGGAACACACTTCCCTTTGGGGCAGAATACTTGTTTGTCCCCCCCCCTAATAGTAGGAATGACAACAGACAGAAGGCACAGTCTCAGGCATGGCAGGCCCCCCCCCCTGCTGGGAAGACGGTGAATTTCCCTTTAACATCGGGAGGACCAGCGTTGGAATCCATCCCTTGACTGGCCATGACCTTGGGGAATTGGCCCAGAATCTCTGAGGCCCAATGCCCCCCCCCGAAAAGGAAAGATGAAACCAGCCGATTCCCAGTGCTCTTCTGCGGGTGGAGCCCCCCCCCTTCCTGATCCGTGTCAGGCACCCTGCTGATCACCATAGCATGTGCGCAGGGCCCCCCCCCAGGCGGTTGCTGTGTGCGCCACAGGAGCTCAGAATCCCCCTACACCTGTTCTGCTGGGCCCTGTGGCTGCCAGGAAGGGTAAGGCGTGTTCCTGGGTCCGAGTGTCCTGCCTGGTCACACCTCAGAATGGAGTGCTGGAAACGCTGACCCCGGGCCCAGGGGGCCCAGCTGCCCCCCCCCGGCAGAACAGTCAGCCTCTGGAGAGAGGTGGGAAGTTACCAGGCCTGCCTGCCCCCCCCCGCACCCCCACCCACTGCAGGACTGTTCCTGCTCTCCCTCAGGCCTGTGGTACCCCCCCCCGCCTTTGCGGCTCAGCGTGTGGCTACTATTCTCTAAAGAAAAACTTTTCCCCCCCCCCCCAAATCTGACATATTAATTTCTGGTCTGTTTGGGACTACCCATTCCCAAATGCCCCCCCCCACATTAAGTATTAAAAATAGATGTGTTTATCAATGGATAACAAACTCACCTCCCCCCCCCCATAGGACTACAGGAAATGTTGACCTTCCCATAGACCTTTTTCCAGACATGCCCCCCCCCCGTGTCATTCTCTTTTCCAGAGAGAACATATACAAACACAGACAGATGGTTCCCCCCCCCCCTCTGAGGTATGTGCAGATGTAACACACATTTCCACTAGTTAGTGACGTGCCCCCCCCCCTACGTGTACTGGTGTGACATCGTCGCTACAGGTACAGGTGTAGCATCATTCCCCCCCCCATGGGTGTAGGATCGTTACTACAGGTACAGGTGTACTATCATTGCTATATGCCCCCCCCCAGGATCATTAATATGGGTACCAGTGTGGCATCGTTACTACAGGTCCTGGTGCCCCCCCCCTGCTACAGGTACCAGTGTGGCATCATTACTACAGTTTCAGGTGCAGCATCGCCCCCCCCCGTACTGATGTGGTATCATTACTATGAGTATCAGTGTGGCATCATTACTACACCCCCCCCCGTGGTATCATTACTATGAGTACCTGTGTGGCATCATTACTACAGGTACAGGCCCCCCCCCATTACTACGGGTACCAGTGTGGCATCATTACTAGTTTCAGGTGCAGAATCACCCCCCCCCGTACAGGTGTGGCATTGTTACTACGGGTACAGGTGCAGCATCATTACTATGCCCCCCCCCGTGGCATCGTTACTACAGGTACTGGTGTGGTATCGTTACTACAGGTACTGGTGTGGTATCATTACTATGAGTACCAGTGTGGCATCGTTACTGGTTGCAGGTGCATCATCATTACTACAGGTACAAGTGTGGTATCACCCCCCCCCGTACCAGTGTGGCATTGTTACTATGGGTACAGGTGTAGCATTACTGTGGGTCCCCCCCCCGCATCGTTACTGCGGGTACTGCTGTAGCATCATTACTACATGCACCACAACCTGTGTGTTCACCTCAGTTATGATTTATCAGCTTCCTCACTGTTTCAGTCAGGACCATTGCCCCCCCCCGTAAATACTGCTGGTTGTTTCTGAATCAGAAATTCACGCAGCGTATTTAGAATGCCAGGCTTCAAGCTGGACTACATGAACACCCCCCGGTTCCACCCAACACAAGAAGCTCCCCCCCCCGTCTGCAAACTCTGGTCCAGCGTGACTCAGCATAAGCCTCCCGCCCTCAGCACATCACTCACCGGGACATCCTCCAGCAGTCTGTGCTCCGAAGTGGATTTCCCATTACTGCCCCCCCCCACAAAGTCAAAACAGATGCCGGCATGTCCTGGTGTTAGTGGTTTTTTTGTTCCCCCCCCCAAATTGAGCTCCCTTTACTCATTCATACAGGTGCCCTTTACTACAAAGAGACCCCCCCCCTACTTTCCAAATTAAGCTTAGAATATAATCGAGAGGCACAAAATACTGATGCCCCCCCCCAAGTGGCCACAGGGGCTGGTAGCTAAGCTACAAGGAGCTCCGGGTCTCAAACCCCCCCCCTCTGAGTGTGGCCCATGAGCGCTGCTGCAGAGAAGGAGGCAGAATGGTGGGCCTCGCGGGTTGCCAGCCGAGTGTCCAAGAGCCCCTGGAGGGCTCTTGCGACCCCTGCCTGAGCCATCACACCTGCTCATCCCTGGGGGAGGGCAGACCTGCCGCACTGATCCCCGCATCCAGGGTCCTCCAGCTCAGCGAGCAGGCTGGGGTCAGGGTTCTCACCAGCCTGCACGGCTGCCCCCCCCCGGCCCAGACCCTGCCCAGTGTGCCCACTCTACAGGCATTATCCCGTCACTGCCCCCCCCCACACAGAGAGCTGAGACACACACGGCCAGACCATCGGAGCTACGCTCTCAGCCCCCCCCCTGTTTTAAAACTCTGAACCAAGTCGTTCCCATGGTAAATGTTTGCAAGTCTCCCCCCCCCATCGCCAACATTATGTGATTGTGAGGAGTGCTACTTAGCATTTTCTTGGTACCCCCCCCCTTTTCTGAATATTTCGCAGAAAGATGCCAGCGTACATATTGGACTAGGACCCCCCCCCCCATTTCTCTAAAATCCCTTACAGCTTAATTTAATTAAGTGGAGCTCAGAACTCCCCCCCCCCATTTCTGTTTCTGCCCCTGGTTTTGTTACAGGGCTTCAGGCAGCCCTTCCCAGAGCATTCCCAGTGAGGGAAGAGCCACACCAGCTTTACGGACCGTGGGCATTTTGACATTTGCTCTTTTGGGTTGGTGCCCCCCTTGTGCCGACAGAGGGCAGTAGAGGGTGTGAACAGGAACGCACCCCAGCATCTGGCGTCCATGCATCTTTGGAGAGTTAACTCTCAGGGACAGTCCCCCCCCCCCCCGGTTTCTCACTGTGACCCCAGTCTCCCACACACAGCACCATGGGCCAGACATCTTCCAGAAAACCTGCAACAGGAGGACCCAAAAGTAGGACACATGCTCATCAATTCCCCCCCCCCCAAAGACTCCAAACCAGTGTCTTTCTAAGTTTATGTGTGGATCCCAAAAACCCCCCCCCAAATATTTTTGAGTAAGGCAATGCTAAACTGGGTTTATCTTTCAAAATTTCACTTAAAAGTGTATTTTATGAACAAGTAGAAAAGCCTTGTCCACAAAATCACCAATTCCACCCCCCCCCCATATTGTGACATAGGTGTTTGTGACTAAAGTGTTCTATTTTATTTGTAAGCCCCCCCCCTCAAACACCTCCTGGACATTTGCCGTGTGCTCGTTAGCTTCTCCGAGGAAGAGTTTTCCCCACATGGCCTCTCTGTCCCTTGCTCCCAGAAGGAGCAGCGTGTGGACGTCGCATCCCCAGCAGCCTCTGCCCTCTCTCAGGGCAAGGGGCCTGTGGACTTAGGTGGTAGGTGATCTGATGAGTCCAGGATGCTTGGGGCTGATCGCAGCGGCCTTTCCTCCCACAGGTTTGCCCCCCCCCCGGGAGACGCACCTGCTTGCCTGACCCTGGGTGCAGCCATCTTCCCGGGGATGAGAGTCCCGGTCTCTCCAAGGATTGCTTTAAGGACAGGCCTGGGACTTGTGCTCAACACCCCCCCCCTGCTGGACGTCTAGTCACTGTTCAAAACATACATGGAGGAGAACAGAGAGGCCCCCCCCCAATTCGGTCATCTCCCCGCTGATGCTGATGCTGCGCAGTATGTTGCTCCACCCCCCCCCCCCTGGGGATTTGCCCAGAGTGTGCTGGATGAGGGAGTCGGGTGAACAGTGCCGTTTACGGGGAAGCCAGGAGAGCGCACAAGTCGGGGAGAGGAAGAGGAGAGCACCTGCACTCACCACATGCTCGCCATGGCACAGGATCACAGGTCCTGAACGCCAAGTTACCGTCCTCCCCCCCCCCCACAGGAAAGAGTTACAGATTGTGGACTTTTTTAAACAATTAAATTTGATCCCCCCCCCCCCGCCATGGCACACAGCACCAGCAATGTGCGCCTCCCCACCGGTCCCACCTCCCGTTGCGGACCAGATGGAGTGTCGGTAAATACGTCGGCCACATCTCCTGGCACTCTGGACACTGGCCTTTTATTCACGAGATGCTCGCCCTTCCCGTGTGTTCCCACAACGCCGCATGCTGTGCCGTGGCGGACAGAGCAGCCAGGTTGGGTGGCCGCTAAGCAGAGAAGGCTCCTGACCCCCCCCCAATTGCACCATCCTTACAGAGCGCTAAAACTTGTCATCTGCGGCCCAGGTCGTGGAGAGCAGAGCCACACACAGCCCGCTGTCCCCACCCCAGCGCCGTGGCTCCTGTGCTTATAACTTGGCCACCACTGCCCACCACACCGCACTCCTCCATCCCAGCGGCAGGGCGCCTCCCCCCCCCTTCTCCACCTGCAGCCACAGGACCTTGGGGAAGCTTCCAAAAATGCATTTGCCCCCCCCCCCCTCTTCTGTAAAACAGCTGGTTCCCAAAAATTGTTTGAGGGTGTCGAGTCCCCCCCCCTACAGGGCAGGTGATGGCTGTCACTGCTCACTCAGGGTGCGTGTCAGGCCACGCTGTGGTCACGGGTCGCCGGTCACATGGAGGACACGGCTCTGCATCTCCACAGGACCGGGAGTCCCGGCCCGAGTCCCGCTGTCACCTGCCGACCAGGCCCCTCCTGCGGGCCTCTCCCCTCGTCCCGAGGGCGCCATCTGTCTGTCCCCGCAGTCAGAAGTGCCTCCTCCCGCGGGACTCCTGCACCTGCAGACACCTCTTCTCAGCCTCACACGGCGCTCGCTTCTCATAGTGCTAAGGAACAGAATCCCTTCCTCCGCTTTCTCATTTGCTCTCCCCTTCGCTTACGCCCTGGCTCCCCCCCCCCTAGAATATCTCACAGGCTAATTTCCATGCCTTTGTTTAATGGTACCGGAGCCCCCCCCCTTTAACACACTTGAAAATGAACTTGAATGCGCTCTTTGACACCGTATTTATCCCCCCCCCATTTAGTTCAGCCTCCTGTCCTTTGAGGAGCTGTTTGGTCTTTATTAGCTTGATTTTTCCATGGCTGTGGCACATTGGGCTCGTGGCCATGGTGTTTACAGGTGGAGTGAAAGGCATTAGGCCCCGGTCATGCCATCCTAGTGCCACACACACCCTGCGGTTTCGGGCATGCCCCCCCCCGGGGCCACAAGCTCCATGGTCCAAGGCAGCTCAGACCCACAGCTGTGCTGTCCCCCCCCCTGCCTGCCTCGATATCCCTCTAAAGATTGTTTCTCAAGCAGCATGGCCTCCCAGCCAGGGTGACCAGGTGCACATAGACTCATCCCCCACGTGTGCCCAGTGCCCCGTGCACCCCCCCCCGGAACACAACCGGATGTGCGCAGCCTCACCTGGGACGCAGGAGGGACCAGGGCCCGTGGTCTGCACAGCCTGCACAGGTGTGAGCTACAGCCTTCTGCAAGGGGCTCACTGCCCCCCCCCCACTGCCCCACGTGGGCTGTGCTTCTGGCCATGAGTGGTGATGGAAAGCCTCCCACTGTCTATACGCTGTCCACACCCTGCCCGGCTCCCGCACACATCTGCTCCAAATACAGATCTAACAGCACCGCATCCCGCAGAGCCCTGGTGGGGCTCAGTAGTAAGCAAGTTAATCCCCCCCCCTTACGTTTATTAAATTAATGAATAAGGTGGTGGCCACTAACTCAACAACCTCCCCCCCCCAATTAGTGACTCAGGAGGGCCAGTGAGGGGCCTCAGGGCTCGAGGACCACACCCCCCCCCGGGCCTGCATGTTCTTTCCCGTGTGTGTCCTAGACTTGGCACTGAAGAAGGCCCCCCCCCAGAAATACCAACAGGTGCAGACCCCAAAACCCACCACAGCCTGCTCCCTGCAGCCCAGGACCAGGAAGGGCAGCCTGGTGGGACAGAAACGTTTTACACAGTAAGTGATCCCCCCCCCCCAAACACGCAGACATCCCCACGAACCCACCCCACCCTCAGCAAATGCCTCTGCCCCCCCCCGCAGGAACGATAGCCCCCCCTACCAGGTGGCGTCAGGCTCCCCCCGACTCAGTGGCAGGGAGCAGAAGCAGGGACCACCTCATGGAGCTGGAACTCTCGTCCCGTCCATCAGCAGTAAGGGTCCAACACCAAGAGGGGGACCTCGACTTCCGCCTGCCCTGGTGGTCCTGGCCCCCCCCCCTCCCCTGTGGAAGATGAGCCAGAGAAATTCAGGTAGAATGACTTAAATGACCCCCCCCCTCTCATAATACAAAAATATCCAGGCTTCAGTAAACCAGGAAGATCTCAAATCCCCCCCCCAGACAGTAGCTTCCAGCACGAAGATGTTGGGCCTTAGAATATCTGACTACGCCCCCCCCCCAGTGGTGATCGATGCGCTTCAGAAAGGAAGTAAAGCACAAACCCTTGGAACCCCCCCCCAAGACAGAAAAGCCTCAGCGGGGAGATCTGAAGCCACACGAGGAGATAAGTCCCCCCCCCCGAGATGAAGGTCATCATAACAAAAGGCTCAGCAGCTGAGCTGGACCTGGGCCCCCCCCCCGGAGGAGTCACCACAGGCTGGACATGGCCGGCCTGCGAGGCTGAAGGGAGCCCCCCCCCGTGCTGAGGTGGAACCCCAGAGGAGGAGGAGGGGGGCTGTAAAGTCCGGAACCCCCCCCCATGGAAGTCCCCTGATTTGACGGGACGGAAGACACTGCCCACTGCAGTGAGCCCCCCCCCCCAGCCTTCAGCTCCCCTCTGCGCTGAGGCTGGGAGGTTTTACCTGCAGGCTGATCACACAGGTTGTGAAAAATAAAGCTTCCCAAGGTATTAATGTTCCTCTTCCTGTATCCCCCCCCCCTGTTGAGAGTGCCACGCGGATATTAGCGCAGGTCTCTGCATTTTGGTGCTCCCCCCCCCCATGGCTGGACACATGGAGATGTGTGCCTGTGTGTGTGCGACTACCTGCACCCCCCCCCCAGCCGGCCCTGAGCATCCGTGTGCTCACTGCCCAGCAGACGAGGCGTTCATGTTGAGTTTGACGGCAGACGTGACCTCACCCAAACCCGCCCGGGGGCTGATACAGGAGCCACGCGGCCACAGCCTCTCCCCCGCGAGGGTCTGTGCTTTGGTTTTGGTGTTGCTGCTCTTCCCCCCCCCTTTCCCCCAAAGCACATCCGGGTTCCCAGGGAACAGGCCTGCAGCCCTGGCCCCCCCCCCTGTGGGCCCTGAACAAGGAGAGGAGAGTGAGCGCATCATGCCCCAGGTCCTTCCGAACGCTTTAGCAAGCGGAACTAGGAATCCCGGTGTTTCCAAACCACTTTGCTGACTCCCCCCCCCCTGGGCCCCGTATGCTTGTTTGTGGTGAGAGTGGCACGAAGGCCTCATGTCCCCCCCCCCCGTGGTTCGAGATGTTTGCCTGTAGACAAAATCCCAGAAAGAACTGCCTGTCCCCCCCCCGTCAGGACTTTTAAAAACTTGGTTTCTGATCATGGGGGGATACTGCAACCACCCCCCCCCTGTAGAACTCCGTTGCTAAAGAATGTTTTCTCAAAATGAATTCTCTTTTCTCCCCCCCCCCATATGCGTGTAGCTGGCAAGGAGAAACGCTGTGTTTCACGGTGGATTTCGCTTTGGGATTCACCTGTTTTGACAGTAAGACAAAGGTAAGCTGCCCAGCAGGCACGGCCTGGTGCCCAGGCACGTGCACTGTTACATTTCAGAGGAGCAAACAGGACGCCACCAGCCCAGCCGGTTTGCCGTGTGCACAGCGGTGCCGGCCACCACCGTCCACGCCGGCATGGGGAGGGTCCCCCCCCCCCTGCTTGAGGGAAAGATCCCCGGCCCAAAGGTAAACACTTTGGAAAGAAACCCCCCCCCCTGCCTGACTTCAAACCTGAGCATCTTGGTGAGAGAACGGCAGCCGTTCCTCCCCCCCCCCATCAGGTGCTCAGCTGTGGTTGACTTCCCCTTACTGCACAGGAGACCACCATTTCCACCGGCATCTCTGTGAGCCCGAACGTTCACCTCAGCCCATAGTATGTCATCCCACCCCCCCCCTTCAGAATGCAGGATGGGGACGCATGGGCAGGACAGGTGCGTCACACGGCACCCCCCCCCAGCCAGCCAGCTTAGCCTGTGCCCAGCCGTGGGTCAGCTCAGAGCCAGGGACGCCTCATCTCAAGTGGCGGTCTCACCAGTGTTTATTTCCAGACTTCCTTGTAAAACCTTTGGATACTCTCTTCTACAAGTTAATCATCGCGGCCAACTCGGGATCCCCTGTGAAATCGCCCCCCCCCCTTTCAGAGGTCTGGCCCGTGTCTTCCCCATTCTTCTAGACAGTGGCTCCTGTGGGGGTGAGTTTGCCCTCGGGGGCATTTGAAGGGGTGTTTCTGCTGGCATCTAGTGGCGGGGGGGAGATCAGAGACGCTGTAAGTGCCCTGCCATGCATGGAATGGCCAGCAACAAGGTGCAGAGCCGGGAGCTCTGTTCTGAGGAGGGGCTGCCTCCTTGACAGAATTCTCCACAAGACCCCCCCCCGCGCTCTTATTTTATTCCCTCCCAGGAAAAGGGTAGGAGGTTTCACAGTAGCCCCCCCCCTAGTGTTTATTTATCTGTTTAGTTACTTTTCAGGGAAGGGGGAGAGAGAGGCCCCCCCCCCAGAGGGAGAGAGAATCTCAAGCAGACTCCATGCTGAGTGTGGAGCCTGATGCAGGGCTCAATCCCATGACCTTGAGATCATGACCTGAGCTGAAACCAAGAGTCGGAGGCTTAACCAGCTGTGTCACCCGGGCACCCCTCTACCTAGGGTTTAGAACAACAGGGCCCATTCCCCCCCCCATTGAATACTAGGAAGGATTCATGTGCTCCATCAGCATTGAGGCCATGGAGCCCCCCCCCGTCCCTGATGCAGCACAGCTCCTGCAGGACAGGCTCCGGGTGATGCTGGCCATGCTGCTGGGCCTGAAGTCTGCATCACCTCCGGCACCAGCCTCTGAGATGAGTGAAGAAGCAGCCATCCAGACACAAGGAAGAAGTTTCTACACTCTCAACTATTAGGCCTGACGGAGACCCCCCCCCTCCAAGAAAATCTGCGTTTCAGTAAATCTAACCGAGATTTTCCAGATGTCAAGTGAAGAGCAGGTTTCAAGCCGTCTGGACTGCCCCCCCAAGAGGACCTGCGTACCCCCTCTCTAGCTGGATGTGGCGGTGTGGTCTGGGGCCTGGGGGATGAGGCCAGTCTGGAGGGAGCCCGCCAGCTCTCTATCCATCCCAGGAGCCAAGTGCCGCCCAGCGCATATGTCTGCACTGCCCCCCCCCGGGTGGTCTGTCCACACCCGGCAGGTCTGGTTCCCAGGGTCAAGACTTGCACAGCGCCAGGTGCCCCACGAGCTGACAGAGCTCACTGTCCTCCTGGTGGCCCTGGTGGAGCCTTCCCCCCCACCCCCATGTTCCTGCTCTGTGTGACGTGAGAGCCCCGTGTCACCCACCCTCACAAGGGCTGTCCAGGGGTGCGCATGGCTGTGAGATCCTAAGAGGCGCCTTCCGTTCCCCCCCCCCCAGGGCCCCTCAGCACAGAGTGGACGGAGGAACCCTGGACGGTGCCACGGGCCCCCCCCCCTTATAGCAGATGAGAAATAACCTCTCGACACCAAACCCTGATCAGGCCCCGAGCCTTTCCCGCGCTCCGACCAGGGCTGAAGGGCAGCTTCCTGGGGAGTGGAGATGGAGCCCCCCCCCTGAGCTGTGGTGCCCCCAGGCTCACCCCAGCAGCACATTCTTGCTTCTGTTCCCCCCCCCAACTTCCTCTTCGTCGGCTGCTCCGTGACCCTCTCCAGGACATCACTCCCTCCCCCCCCCACCCCTCCATGTCCCTCCTATATTTCACGCCCGCGCGGTTGGGCGGGTGTGCCCCTTGAGGGGCCCTTCCTACCTGTGCACCCAGCATCTCCCTGGCTGGCCCTAAAATCACCCCCCCCCAAGTTCAGAGAGCTAGAATATGATCCTTATTGCGGTGAGCAGCTGAGCTACCCCCCCCCCCCTGACAACGAGCTGCAGAACTAGACTAAGCCCTTATTGTCACTGGCTGTTCCCCCCCCCCCCTTGACCACCTCGCTCTGCTGAACACAGCGGGGCGTCCCTTCACCACCCCCCCCCCCCTGTGCTGGAGCCAGGCCTCCAGGAGCCCCCCAGCTCCATGACCTGTGCGCCTGGGGGAGGGGGCGGGGCCTGGAGAAGCCCCTCCCCCCTCCCTGGCCCTGCAGGAGCCTCCCCCCCCCCCAGCTCTGCCTTTGGGGGAACCTGCCACCTTCCCTGCCTGGTCCTTTCAGCCCCCCCCCCTCAAGTTCACTGTCTTCATCCAGTTTTCATAATGTTCTGGTGAAGTCTTTTCCCCCCCCCGAGCCTCAGATCAGACCTAGGGCCTTCTCCCGACCTATTCCCCTGTGAAAGCCCCCCCCCCACATTTTCCTTGTGTTTACTTCTTGATTGTAAGAAGTTTTGGCCTAATACCCCCCCCCCTGTCGTGATTTAAGACAGTAACTGGAAATTTTAAAGAACACGTGACAATGTCCCCCCCCCGTTCCAGAGCCTTGTTTCGTGTATGCCTTTTTAAAATTTTTAAATTTACAACCCCCCCCCTAATGTTCAAAACAAAAGCTTAAGCTTTTGCAGCTTAACTGTGAAGAGTATACCAGTGGGTTGTAAATCTATGAAATACTTATAACTCTTCTCCATTTGACACATCTTCATCCCCCCCCCGGATGATATTTGTAAATTCAGTATACATAAGTTTTCCATTATTTCTAGATTGATATGAATAATTGTGAATAATTATGAAAATGGTGTTTTCTCCATATGCCGTTAATATAAGTTATTAGGGAAAAATCACATAGATTTTTTTGGCCTTAGAAACATTTAGATTGAGATTGACCCCCCCCCTATTCACAAGATAATTCACACTTCCATGCTATAATATGCTTTAGATCAGACCCCCCCCCCTAACTTCTGGGTCAGACGTACCCCACAACGTGGTGGTGGTATTATTCACCACCCCCCCCCAAGAACAAAGATGAGGTTTTGGTAGGGGTCTCAGTTTGAATTCTGGGCACCCCCCCCCCCATGAGCCTCAGAAGTAAACGTGCAGTCAGATTCCTTAGCTCCCCACTTCTGTGTTTGCCAGAGGAAAGGTGAACGGTTGTCTCCAGGCGTGAACCGCTCACATCAGCTGTCCCTCTGCACCATGGGAAGGGAGTGAAGCGCAAGACCTGCCATCACCGGGAAGCAAACATGCTTGGCTGTGCACATTTTTCCTGCTCTTACAAAACAAATGGGAACCGTGTTGTCCAATATCTTTAAATTTCTAGACAAATTATCTTCAAACAATTTAAGCCAGAATAAACCAGACCTCTCCCCCCCCCCGCGTCCCCACCTTCTTGCTGGGGCTGACATGGGTCTCTGCGCAGAAGCCACGGGTACCTGCACACACCCAGCTCACTCGGAGGCCCGCTGGGCGGCCATGACTGTTCCCACTCTTGATCCCTCTGGTTTGGTGGTAACCGACGTCCCATTTCTGGTGTACCGAATCGGAAGCCAGAGAGGACATCAGCAAGAAGCAGGGAACAGATTGTGGGCCATCAGGCAGCAGAGAAGCGAGATAGCCCACAGACGAGCCATCAAGTGTTGCTTGAGATCTAGGACCAGGGTGAACTTTTCCCCATTTGCGTGTTGGGGGCGTGTTGGGAAGCGGCCTTGTCTGTAAACATGAGCTTGCATTCCAGAATGTCTTCTTGCCAATGAGACGTTCTGCACACACAGCAGAGAAATAACGCGCCCCCCCCCAGGGTCATGTATCGCGGTCCTTGTGGAAGTCCTCTCGCGTGATTCCCCGCTGGGCTGGAACCCAATAATCCCACAAGGAAGAACAGAAAGATTAGATTTGAAAAAACTGGACCCCCCCCCCTTTCTTGTAGGAGAGGAAATGTCAGTTTGGGTCTGGCTGGCAGGAAGAGCCCCCCCCCCGGCCATGCAGGATGAGCGATGCCACAGGCACCGAGAACCCGATACAGGGTTCCCCCCCCCGCCCCTGGGGGCCCTGCTTTCATTGTCAGTAATTAACAAGTCAGGTGTGTCCCCCCCCCCTTGAGCTATGACAGTCACCACCCACGACCTAGCCGCGTGTTTCCTGTAACACCCCCCCCCCTGGGGGACTGTTGTTGAATCACTACAACCACAGCAAATGCTTTCGTCTTCCCCCCCCCCGACCCAAAACCCAGGATTCCCTCCTACCTCACCCTGTGTCCAGACACGTCTCCTGCCTGGTGTGGGGTGGGGGCAGCACTTGAGGTCCAGGCGGCTCCACTCGGACAGCCATCATGATCCCACCTGGGGAGCCCACACGTGTTTTGCAGAAGAGCTTACAATCCCGAAACTCCCCCCCCCGCCTGGTACCTCTTTCAGGTGACGTGCAGACACGGCATCCTTCATGGAAATCCCCCCCCCGGTTTCTTCAGGAAAAGTTCCGTTTTAGGTACAAGAAAGAAGACTTCAGAACCCCCCCCCAGTGACTTGGAAAGAGCCCACCAGCAGAGGAAGTTCCGCTGCACCGGAGCCCCCCCCCCCCCCCCGGCCTCCCAAACCCCCCATCTATGAAATACTTATAACTCTTCTCCATTTGACCCCCACCTCCTGCCCCCCACTTCCTGCCTCCCAGCCCCCAACCCACCCACCTCCTGCCCCCAACTCCTGCCCCCCAGTCCCCACCTCCTGTCCCCCACCTCCTGCTCCCCTGCCCCGCCATCCTGTCCTGCAAAATCGCGTGTGGGTGTGGTGCGGGTGCATCCACGGTCAGTCAGCCCCATACCCAGCTCCCTGCACAGTGGCTCCTAATCAGCTGATGAAAGTGCCCTCATCCCTGATGCAGCGCGGCTGTGGGAGAAAATCGGACATAACACCAGTGAACTGTGGGTGTGTGCTCTCCAAAGACAGTGTTCCTTTGAAAGCAGGACAGGTTCAGGACAGGGTCAGTGTGGAGAGAATGTCTGGAAGGTAACAGTAATAAATCTGCAGGACTCCATTGTGAGGATCAGCAGTGGCACTTTCAAGGTCTTCTGTCTGTAATAGCTCAACAGCTGACACCATGTGAGTTGTTAATTATTGAGGTAATTCCTAAGCGTTATCCTGATGAGGGTCGACCACTATTAGGCTCTTCCTCGTAATCAGATTTGAACCACGTGTGGTTCCGTTGTTCATCCCAGAGCCATCTGGGCTTTGCCAAGGAATCTGGCAAAACCACGATGCCCAGGATGCCCCTGGCTTCCCTTGATGACAGGTTCCCACGTGAAAGCTGGGGAGTGTTAACATCCAAGGCAGACAAGATTTGGGCCATTCTGTCCGAGTCTCAGAGGCGGGCATGCTGGCAGGCACAGGAGCCCTGGGAGCCAGGCAGCTTGCCCAGCGCTCTGCTCACCATCCTCAGTGCACCTTCTGGTTAACTGTGCTGTGGTTTTTGCTCAGTGGCTGATGGCAGGGGGCCAGGGGCTGCTTCTGAGGAAGTGGCGCATGCAGTGTGAGTTCTGGGCAGAACCTCCTAATTCCAACACGAGGAGGCCCTCCGGCTGGGAGTGAGAACACCCAACCCCGCTGAGGCTGGTGTAGACCCACCTTCCTCATCCTGAAAGGAAAGACCCAGGTGTTGTTCCCTGAGACCCTGACAGAGTTCCGGAGTCCCAGCACCTGATGGAGCTTGTTTGGACACTTTGCCCTGAAACACGGAGCCTGGATTCAAAAAAAAAAGAAAGAAGTGCAAGACCCTGAGGTCAGTGGGGGTCAGGGGTCAGGGGTTGCCAGGGAAGAAGTGCCTTTGAATCCCTCCCCCACTGTTGCTGCCTCTTTGCCTTTTGTGACGCTTAGAGAAAGATGGTTCAGTCTTTCAAAACAAGCACTTTTATTTACTAGAAACTGCAGCTTGCGCTGGATTCTTCTGGGAGATGAAGACAATTCTCATGAAGTGTCTGTAAGCACAGACTAACTTTTATAAAAACCACTAAGTCTTTTTTTGCTGCAGACTTTCTTTTTTATTAAACAGAATTTATGAAGCACATTTCATCTTTGAAGTACCTTAGTAAACAGCCCATTGTTTTTGCAGCAGTATGAGGATGTGATCACTGCCTTTCTCAGGTTTGGTGCGGGAGAAACCGACGTGGGGTGATTTGGACGAGCCCCAGGTGGGGCCGTCAGTGGGAATGAAGTTTTCCCTCTGTCTGCACCGAGGACCAAATCTCGTGCTCTGTAGCAAGAAGTGGGCCTCCTAGTGGATTTTTAAAGTCTTGCAAGCAGAAGAAGGAGCAGTGATCATATGACACTGGTAGCCCCGTACAGGAAGGAGAAAGCCAGGGAGGGTCGGTGGGGTGGCGGGAAGCGTGCTGCCAGGTCGGGGTCTGGGACTGTGGGACACCTGGAGCCCAGCGCAGGGACAGAGAGGACGTGGGCGATCTGAGGAGGTCACTTCACACAGAGTGAAGAAGGGGAAGGTGGACGCTCTTATCACATGCTCAGGGTAGATAAGAAAATGAAGCAGATGTCTGCATTTTTAAAAATGGAGTATTTAATATATGAATGGATATTAATGATGTAAGTGAGCTATTTCTAAATCAAAATTTCATTCTTTTGCAGAATGTGCTCTGGAGATTTAAATTTTCTCAGCTTAAGGGATCTTCAGACGATGGAAACACTCGAGTGAAGCTGCTGTTCCAGCATCTGGACACCAAACAGATAGAGGTGAAGGTAGGGAACCTAGTTTACACTGCTGCCAGCCACACATGGAGTAAAAACCTAATGGTCAGATCATGTTTTCATTCCCCCTGCACGCGGACAACCCACCTCAGAGCTCAGACGGCCAGGACATCAGAAGAGCCCGTAGTCTCCTACAGAGATGCTTACAGCCTAAGGCCAGGATCACTGAAACATATTAATTGATTCTACTAAAAATCGCAAGTTCATTACCAAACGTTAACGGGAGATCGATATTTAAAAATACATGAGATGGGGCACCTGGGTGGCTCAGTCAGTTAAGCATCTGACTCCTGGTTTCATCTCAGGTCATGATCTCAGGGGTGAGATCGAGCCCTGTGTGGACTCCATGCTTGGCACGGAGTCTGAGATTCTTTCTCTCTGCCCCTCACCCCCCGCACACATTCTCTCTCTCAAAAAAAAAACCATAAAACAACAACAAGAAGACACATGAGAAGCCAGAATTGAAAGGAAGAGTTTTACGAACTGCATTATGCACAATTCAGCTGATGCGTTGTCTGTAATACTGAGACCAAACTGCCATTAATGAAAGGAGCTCAGGCACAACTTACAAGTTCACGGCACTAAGCTGTTGTTTTACTGCCAACAAAGGATTGATTTTTTCCATGTTTTATGTACACATATGTTGTCAACAACCCAGTTTTAATATAACTAAAGACAAAGGATAAATCCAGGGAACTAAAAAAAGAAAGAAGAAACCAAACATGTGAGACCTATGAACACATATGGTTTGTAAACAGATCCAACTCTTTCCTGCATGGTGTTGTGATAAAATCAGAAGACACATCACAGAGGACATGGTTATAGCCAGATGTGTTTTTAACATCTTTTTATTGAGTTTAATGAAATAATGTTCTGTATCTACATTTTTTTTTAAGTTTTTTTTTTTTTATTTGAGAGAGAGAGCACAGGTGGGGAGGGCGGGGGAAGCAGAGTCCTCACGGAGCAGAGAGCCTGATGCGGGACTCGATCCCAGGACCCTGAGATCATAACCTGAGCCAAAGTCAGATGCTTCACAGACGGAGCCACCCAGGCACCTGCCATATCTACTTTTTAAGCACAACTGCAATTGTACAGAAACTGTTGACATTCTTACCTTTAGAGAATGGATAAAATCAAAACCTGAACGTAAATGCTCTCAGGGCACTTAGGTCATGGGTGTGTGATGGGGAAGCAGGTGAGACAGCAGACCTCGTCCGGACACAGGACACGGCGGTGACGGGGGGCACACAGAGTCCAGGGGAGACCCACCACCAGCAGCGAGGGAGGGAGTGGGAAGACTTGAGATGAATCTCTTTGGTATTTTCTCTGCATTAATACGGCGACCATGGGTAACCTGGCTGGTACTTGATTGGCCTCTGGAGGAGTTGGTGACAGGTTTCCTGCTAAAATCCTGCAAACCTTATTCCAGTGCGTTCTGTGGGAGCATGGGCGACACTTTGAAAGTCAGTTCGCAGTGGGTCTGAAGGGTTTCATGCTTGTGGGTATTCTAGCAGCAGCTTCCGGCAGTGCACCTGCTGACCCAGGGCGCGTGCTTTGGGAACATCCAGTACCTTCTGTGATATCAGAGTGTCCTTTTGACAGGCAATGCAGGTTTCACTAGGTTGAAAGGCATTTATTTTGATTTTTTTAATGTTTAGTGAACTTTTGGTAATCTGTATTCATGAGAAGAGTGGGACCTGGGTAATCTAAACTGGACAGTGTGAGATACAGTATGTGAATTTGGGGCATGCGTTTTGAAACGTCTTAATTCCACTGTGGCATTTGTAGACTGGACCGGTTCTATTTTCAGTTGGTGAAGACAGAGCCCTTGAAAGTTGTGGGGCCAGAGGGATGGACACAAGATTTGAAGGGCTTGAAGCTTAAATAGTTTGCCGTGATGTCTCTATAAAAAAAAATACAATTGGGAATACGAGAACCCAGCTATACACAGAGAAACAGTGGTCAGAGCCAAGGGCACGTGCAGTGAGGGGCTGGTGGCCATGCTGCCTGGGGCCCTGGCAGGACCTTGCGGGGTCTGGGCAGGTGGTGACGAAAATGAGAAGAGCTGCCCACGCTCTCCAGCCAAGGAGAGAATGCATGTGTGGCGGGCCTCCAGGAGCAGAACCGGGCGCACAATGGCTGTTTCCAGAAGCCACCTTGAGCGGACATCCACTTGTACTACAGCTTGTGAGGAACAGGAAAATTGGAAAAGACAGAAGGGGAGTCTGGACCCCGTGAGAACCCTCAGGTTTGAGGCTCCATTTATACAAACAGCCCTTGGGACAGACGTCTGAGTCGGGAACCCCAGCTTTTGCAGGTACTGGGTGGGAGTGGTATGTTACTCAGGAATGGGTTATTGCCTCAGAGAAGATGGTGTTCCTGTTACCTGCATTTCCTGGTTCAAGGAGTGATAACTGTGGAACAATTTTCCTCCTAATATTTATTGAGAACTCTCTGGACTGTTTGGCCCGAGCAGTGCCTCGGTGATGAGAGCGTCGTGAGAACGCCGGGTCCCCCCGGAATCTGAGGGGCACGGGGGCCCCAGGACACTGCTTACGAGCCTGGGATGTGTGCAGAGATTGTCCCTGACTCCAGGCCGCTTCCTGTGGCTGCAGGGCAGGGGGTGCAGCAGTTTTTAAAGAAAATACTTGGTTTTCTTTTTCTCACCTCTTTCTCCTAAAGGGATTGTGAAGTGAAGGATCTGCTTTCCTCCTGTTCTGCGTGTTGGCCGCGTGTTGCTGCCATGAACTAGGGACCAGAAGGACTGAGCCTCGGGGCAACGGTGCCCTTCCCAGCCCCCCCCACCCGGCTCCTACGTCCCCCGACTTAGCTCTGGGAGCTGTGTGGGCATCGTGCATGCTTCTCTAGGATTTCCCTTCTCCTGACAGACCGAGCTGCCGAAGGGCAGCTTGATTTTAGCTTTTTGACTTCAGCACTTAACAAGCGTGTTTAAATGAATAGATTAATCAACAAAGAAGGAGCAAATTAGATGCACAAAAATTTTTATCAGTTTCCAAGGAGGAAATTGTTCCAATTGCCTTTAAAGTCCGAGACTCTTGATGCTACGTATCAGTGATCACCCGTGCGCATGCAGGAAGCCCATCATGCTTGTTGAAGGCAGCGCGCCGTTAACAAAGGATGAGTGCGTCTCCGGGAGGAGCAGTGGAGTGTGATTGTCACCCGCAAGTGACTGAGCGGGTAAACTCCACCAACACCTGCTGCTCGGCTCTCAGGGAGTCGGCCCAACGTGCTGACAAGGCTTCGGAGCCTGGGCGGGGGCGCACGTTTGTATGTAAAATGTCCGAGTGCTCGGGCGAGTAAAGGAAGTTGTGTCTCTGAACCTGAAACGAGGCTGCTGAGCTTCCGTGGCCAAGAGCTTTGGTACCACGGCACACATCATCGATGCGGCTGACTCGGAGGCGCTGGGAAGCGTGTGGTGCAGGGAGGGGGGGCACAGCGAGGCAGCGCCACCACGTGGAGACACGCAGGTGGGCCACTGGGCATTCCACATGACAGTGGGTGTGAGCAGGAGCAGTGCCTGTGCGTGTGGCCCCTTCCAGAGTGTCTGTGGGGTTGTCTCCTAACCCGTTCTCATGGAGCTGGAGCAACAACAGGGCTAGCGCGCTCCCTCTGTCTGTGTCTCTGTCTCTCTCTGTCTCTGTCTCTCTGTGTCTCTGTCTCTGCCTCTCTGTGTCTCTGTCTCGCTCTCTCTGTCTCTCTGTGTCTCTTTCTCTCTGCCGTTCAGCATCTCTCCCTGTCTCTCTCTCTCTGCTCCTGCACCAGGCTCCTAAGTGGCTCATCCCAGAAATGAAGTAGCCACATTTGACTTCAGAGCTCTAGGTGACGTCTTTGTCTTGGTTTGGAGCCCATGTGGCCGAAGGTACAGAACTACAGTGTTCCCACTAACAAGCGCCGTGGAACCAACTCTCTGAGCACGAGCCTTGTCCTTGAGTTACCAGCACCGAGGAGAGGAGGTTCCCAGGGCAGAGATGGTAGTCATGTGCCGGCCGGCTCTCACTTCATGCGGCCCATCTATCGGGGAGACTCCGTGAGCTCCGTGAGTCCGTGGCCCACTCACTGGAACCCTGTGCACAGGTGCCAGAAGCCTCAGCATGGAACGCCCTCAGCGCCCCACTGTGTGGCCGCCGCAGCTCAGTTAATAGCTTGTGGGTCTCTAGCTCAGCCTGGCCTCCTCCTGGCTGGGAAGTCATCATGTCCCCATTTTCAGGAGAAAGACTAAGGCCAGCCCGCCCGTAGAGCACAGGCAGCTAGCCCAGCGACCGCCAAGGCTCCCTTTGCGTTCCGAGAAACTCTCACTCCCCAGCATGGGGCACACGGGTGTGCCAGCCACGGTTCCACCTGTTTCCAGATCGAAGGCCAACAGGACCCCACCTGGTCCCCACAAAGCCACCCAGCAGCCTTGCAGCTTCTCATCTGCTGGCCTCGGCCTGATTTCGAGTCAACTCCTCTGCCTGTGAGGTTGTAGCCTTCCTGTAGACCTTCATTGGGAAGACACCGTCCAGCGTCGGCTGCATCCAGGGCCTCTGCCAGTGTTGGGACGTGGGGCGAAGGAGACATTCAGAACCAGGGACAGAGATGAAACCTGTAAGACACGATACTGCCGTGACAGAAGGTACACATCCCTGAGAAGCTGAGTTACTATTTCTTAATGACCTTCTGTTGAATGGATTCGATTCTCTCTTCTTGATTAGGATTCCACCACGGTGATGTGATGGGATGGGACTCAGAGCCGGGATGGGACTGTGGATGTGCCACTCCCATGGCTGGAACAACACTAAATGTGGGCTCCTGGCGTTGGGAAGCCTGGTCCATCCGTGTGTTGTCTCCCCACCACCCTCTGGTGTCCGTGCGGCCCATGTTCAGACGCTCCCCGCAGTTAGCTGTTCCTTGGAAAGCGTTGTTGTGCACGTTCTTCTTCTTTTCTTTCTTTCTTTTTTTTTTTTTTAGTACACTCTACACCCAACACAGGG